CTAAAATCTATAATTTAAAGAATTAAGAAAGCTAGCTCTAAAGTTTATAGAATTTTTTTAAGTTTTTAAATATATTAGAACCCAAGTATATTACTTATATTTATCTAAGGAATATAGATAAATTTATAATATATTCTATATTTTTCTAGTAGAGCTATAGAATATAGAAGAAAACTATAAAGAACTACTTCTAATACTAGAGTTAAATAATAAAGATAAATAGAAAGTTAAAGAAGTTAAAGATTACTAATACTATAATAACTAAGACTATTATCTAATTAAATAGAAGAGATAATTAAGTAAGTATAACTAATAAATTCCTAGTAAAAATATAATAAATACACAAGAATATATTAGAAATTACTAAAGAAAATACTAGAAGAAGTAAAAGTATACTAAATCCTAGTAAAGTACTACTAAGTAATTAAAAGTATTAAATATATACCTTATAAATATACTTAATTATATAATATCTTATAGTATTTTATTATATACTCTAGTATACTAATAGATATATTAATTATACTATTATAAGGTAATAGACTATATCTATATATACTAAAACTTTTATAATATAGTAATTTAGTATCTTCTTTACTATAAAACTAATATAAGTTAGTCTTATAATTTATCTAAGATAACTAGAATTCTTAGATATAAGATAGAGCCTCTTAATATCTACTCTAATAATTCTATATTAATAGATTAAAAATACTTTGTAGTTAGCTATATATTACTAGTAAAGTATTAATATATTAATTACTAAATAAGCCTATCTTTATAAACTATTTTCTATACTATTAATAGACTATAGTATTAATAGTATATTACTACTATCTATATAAAAGCTTTCTCTAGATAAACTATATATTTATTTACTATATAAAAAACTTTTTTATTAAAAGTAATAAGAGCTTTATTCTTCTTGTCTTTATCTTTATAGAAGAAGTAACTATAATACTAGTCTAAAAACTCTATTAGTTTAGCTGTATTATCTAATATATCTATAGATATCTAAGTATATTAGCTAAAGTATATTAAAGAAGGTTTATAAATCTCTACTACTTTATAGCTGCTCTGACAGCTATAATACTGTTAGTATAGAATAGATTCCTGTTTATTTAGAATATAGTTAATTGTAAAGATCTTTTATTTATCTATATTTTTAGATTTAAAGTACTTTAATAAGATCTAGAGATAATATATATACTATAACTAATAGAGTCTAATTACTATAATATATACTAGATATAACTAAGTTATTACTAAAGTATAATAGTAATAATATATATTAGTAGCTCTATCTAGTATACTATAAGTCTTATATAGAAGAAGTAAAATACTATAGAATAGAGTATATAATAGATATAAGAAGATACTGGAAATCTTAATATAATAGATAAATAAATATATAGAGTAGAGAGAATAAGAAAGAGAAAAGAAAATAAAAATAATATAATAGACTCTTATTTATACTTCTCTCTAACAGATCTATTTATATAAATATAACTATATACTAGTAAATCTATATAGAAATATATATAATTCTATTAATATTATCTATTCTATAAGCTTCTTATGTATTATAGCTAAGTCTCCACCTTTTCTAATTAGAAAATATAAGATTATTCCTAATAATTAAACTAGATAGCTTATTCTTATAAAGAGGAGTACTATTTATAATAGAATAACTACTATTAGGAGTAAGATTATTAGGATAATATACTTGTTGGAGTTTCAGTTCTTTTCAAATAGAATTAATTAGGGCTTTATTTAACTTTCACTTTTCCATACAAACTGAGTATAGAAGTGAAGTCAAAACAAGGTCAAAGTCAAAGATAATTAAAATCAAAAGAATCAAAGATAGAATGAATAAGGAAATAAACAAGCCACTGATTTCAATACATATCTGATCAACTGGTTCAGGATGATTCGGGATGATCCTCAGGAAATCATTGAACAAATCAGACTATTTAAGCCAAAATCCTTTGTTTATTGATTTCCTAATTAGGAAATCAAAACATTCAGAATGCAGGGGTGAGAATCCAGGGTGAGAATGCAGGGGTAAATTAGCCAAGGATGGATTGGGCTGGAACAATGGTTCAAATGGCTCAATCCAGGAATTAGGGCTAGGGTTTGGTAGTCAGGTGAGCTGCCAGTTTGACAATACTATAATAGTTATAGGAGTTATAAGGTTATTAATAGTGAACCTACATCTTCCCAATATCTATAAGGTACTAATTCCTCTGCAGAAAGCTACTAATCCTCAAGGATCAGTCTATTCATGGATATAGGCTACCCTTGTTATTACTAGATGAATCCATAAGTATTCAGTGGTTGATTCCTTACCTAGTCGACAGGTCTTCTACCCTGACAAGTAGATCCTATCACATTTTTATTATTCTAGAGTTTATAATAATAAGTAGTAATAGCTACTATTCTATTCTATTCTTTAGATAGATAGAGAATATATTTCTAAATATAGTAATTTAGTTCTAGTTCTAGAAGAAGTTTAGTAAAATATAATAGATTTCTCTCTTTTTTAGCTTAATAGAGAAAATACTACTCTAAGATATTAAGATAAATATAGAACTCTCTTAGATTCTAGCTATATTACTAGTATACTTATTTAAGTTAGACTATTATATTAGACTAAAGTATTATAATATTTTAAATTAAGATAAGAGTCTAGTTCTTAAATTAAGACTATAATTTTTTAAGAAGTTATTTTTATTCTAAAGTCTTATTAGTAATAAATCAGTACTATCTCTATCTATATACTAGATTTATATAACTAATAATAGTAATAATCTTATATTTATCTAATAAATACTTTCTAGAGACTCCCTAAAATATATATTCTAAATTAATAATCTATTTCTAATATTTCTAAAGATTAAAGTTTAATATAAAGTAAAAAATATTAGTAAACTTAATTTCTTCTTTATTCTTATCTAATTTAGAGAATAATAGTAGTATTTTAATAAGATTTTACTAGAGAAATAGTTTTCTTAGAGATAGATTATTCTTTAATATAGATTATTAGTCTACTCTAATTAATATATATAATTCTTAAGTTATTAAATTTCTTTAATAGTAGAAATTATATTTAATAATAATTCTATATTAATTTAGTTATTAATTATTTTTAGTTCTTTACTATCTTAATATAGTAGTATCTTTCTTAGATAGTTAAAAAGAAAGAATTAGAATATAATAGAATCTACTTATTAGAATAGAAGATCTATTAACTAGATAAGAAATTAATTACTAAATACTATAGATTTATCTAGTAATAATAAAGATAGTCTATATCTATAAAATAAACTAATTCTTAAGAAATTCGTAGTCTTCTACAGAGAAATCAGCATCTTATAGATATTAGGAAGGTGTGGGTTCACTATTAATGACCTCACGACCAGTATATAAGGGGTATGTGGCCAAACCACAGGCGATTCGCCACAGCTACGGGGATTACCCATGACATTCTTATGATTAAATCAGTTGATAATAAAGCTATCTTTAGAATTAATAGAGCAGAACCATAAGATATCTGCTAAAGGCGGAATCATCTAGCAAAACAACCGGCCACCATACTGGGAGGTAATCGCCTTAGGCAATTCACTACAATAAGATCGAGGTAGGGCGATTTTTGTATTAACTTTATAGGGCTTCTGTTCTTTTCTACTAGGATAGGAGAATTAGATTAATTACATAGCAGCTAGACCTAAAGTAGATAATCTTAAGTCAATTTCATGGCTTAGTAATTCCTAAACTAACTATTATTACTATACAGAAATAAAGTAGATAACAAAGTTTCAATGGGTGAGATTACTAAATATTATGTAACTGGGGTGATTACTTACCTATCCTTAAAGTTACTTACCCTAAGTTACCCCTGGTCGCGTGATTATAAAGCGGCCTCACCCGCTAGCTCACCCGAGCGGCACCCACCCGCCTTCTGGCCGCGTTCAAGCCACACGCCGGGAGGTCAGTAGTTGGGTGGGTGACCACCAGCGAATCCCTTCTGTTGTATGTTTTTTTTTGGTTGACCTCGAATTGAGGGTGGGTTCTTTACTACAGTTCATCGAGTAGACATCCTTTCTAAAATTGTGGGGAGAAGAAGGTGAAATAAAAATAGTATCGAAACTGGTGCCAAACATGGGTATCAATCTTTGCAGTTTCACCGAATCACCAAGGCTGCGCGCCATTGGCTTTGATAATTCTCCCTTCGTCAGCGTCCGTTTCCCTGCCACTGCACAACATCCTTGACCAGTTCCCTCCAACCCTAGAGTGCACTGCCCCATTTTGCCCAAGGAACCGCCGGCAACGCCAGGATACAGCAGAAACCTTGACGGCGTCAAGATCCCAGTCCATTCTCTCAGCACCACCTTTAACCCCGTCTTACTGGCTCGGTACGACAAGAGAGACCAATCAAGGTCTTCGGCCAGCCAGCCGGGGGGGGGAGGTTGTTGGTGAAATGGCTTGGTTCCATTGTCTCTGCCAGTGACGAGGGCCCACTCGTGGTGAAGATCAGACGAGGACTGGGAGGTTTCAAGCAAAGAGGCCCATGTTGCGTGACGACATCATACCGGCGACGTTACTTCGAGGATCATGTTCCAGGCTTCGCGTGAGTCATTGTGTTCTCAACCGGTAGCTGCATACCTGCCTGTTTACCCGATCATTAGAAATGTCACTCCTCGAGACACATCAGACACACCAGACACACCAGACACACCAGACACACCAGACACACCAGACACACCAGACACACCAGACACACCAGACACTGTTTCCTGCGTTGTTGATCAATCCAGGGATGGTTTCGTAGACATTCGTGATAGATGCATCATCGGAAATGTCGAATGGACAAGCGAGACAGACTGGGGCGCTCGGAAACTCCTGCGTGAGTCTCTGCACGGCAGCCTCCCCTTTGCCACAGCAGCCTGACTGCGTATGGGACGACGTGCCGAACTGCGCCCGGTCCCAACACAATTCGATCATGAGTCTTTGGTGGCGCCGTGTGCTTGCTCACCCCTCGATGTTCGAGTTTTCTTCTTCAAAGCAACCATACTGACCCCCGTGTGGTCCTCGATGGTTCCTGCAATTTTATCTAACCGCACGGGCTTCGTGAGGAACAAGTTCATCCCGGCTTGTATTGCGTCACGCTGGATCTCATCTTGCGCGACCCCGGTCAGCGCAATGATAGGAACCGGGGCATGCGATTCCAAGGAGTTTTCAAAGCGACGGATTTGGCGCGAGGACTCTAGCCCGTCCATGACGGGCATGGAGATATCTAGAAGACGTCAGTCAATACACACACACACACACACACACATCCAAGGTCAATAGTCTCATCGACTGACTGCATTTACCCATTAAGATTATGCGGATCTCGGAATAGGATTCCTTGAACCTGTCGAGCGCTTCTTGTCCATTGTGCGCAACGAGATACTCGAGACCTAACTTCTTCATGAAGGCTACCAGCAGCGATATGTTGATGTGATTGTCATCCACCAGGAGTACGGTGAATGGAGCCTGCAGCGGAGCGGCCGGGGAGGCGTGGCTCTTTTGTACAGGTGACGCTTCGAGCGCAGGTGAGGGGCCTACGGCGGCGGAAACGGGCGAAAAGTAATCCTCATCTGCTCGCGGCGTCTTGGGCTGCCCGGCGGAATCCGGGTGGGTCTGACTCATTGACTTTGATGATGATGTACTCCGAGTCCGAAGGCCGGGAAAATCATTGGGTCCCCTAATTGCGGTGGGAGATATCTGCCTCTTAAGAGTATCCAGAGACAAGGCCATCGTACTTCCCGGGGTCTTGATTCCAGAAACACGGCGACTTTGACGTTTGGTGCAGACCTCCAGTGCCTTGGCCAGCTTGCGCGGCCCACACGGCTGGGATATGAACTCGAGCACGTCTGCATCGCCGCGTCGCTGTGATGCTAGGAGTAGCGAGTGCGCCACCCTTGGGGACGAGCATATGACGATGACCGGCGAGCAGAATCGTGACTCTGGATCAGGGGCGATGGCTTTGATCTCGAGATTGCCGATATCCAAATACTCGTGAAGCGCGATGTAGAAATCGCAATGAGGGAAATTCGACTGCGAGGGGTTGACGGGGACAACGTCCATCTGCAGCCACTCCCGACATATTTTCTCCAGAGACAACGCTGTGGACGTGTGCATGGTGGAGGTCCCAAACCCCAGGATGCCGATGGATTTATGGCACACTAAACTTCTGGTTAGAGCAAGGTTACCGGCGTGCGTGTGATCGTCGAAACTCCCGTCGGAGGCGAGTGCACTCTTGGGCGCATGATCGAGTACGAGAGAGATTTGCACGTCAGTGCCGGCTGCTTTCTGGGAGCGAACTTCGATGCTCCCCTGAAGGGATTGGATGGCATTCTGGGTGATGCTAGCACCGAGGCCATTTCCCGGCAGCAAATCATTTTCCTGCGAGAAGGGAGTGAAGTAGCCGTTCTGAAGAAACTCCGGGTCCATGCCACACCCCGTGTCCCGAACGGAGATCGTGATTTCGGAGCGCACAGGGGTCCCGTCGTCCTCGGCAATGACGGCTTGCGCCTTGACTTGGATGAAGACATACCCTTCCTGGGTGTACTTCAGAGCGTTGCCCACGATGTTTGTCAGGATCACGTGCAGCGCCCCAGCGCGTGTGGTGAAGGTCCAGCTGGATGCCGTATCGATATCAAGAATGACGTGGACATGCCCCGGCAAGCTTACATTGGTATCCGCTCCGCTCCGTAGCGGGTGTCGAGAACTGTGGAAGAAGCAGAACCCGGCGAAGATGGCCTCGATAGTGTCCTCCACAGTGATATCAATCTGGATGCTCGATTCGGGGTCAGACTGACTGACTGCGGAGCCTTTGTGGTAAGGAGATGCCAATGGCCCCTTGTTACGGGTCTGGTGGAGGTCGTTGATACCAGAGAACTCTAGAAGCTGATTGATCGACCCGAGTAAGGTATTAGCACAAGATGCGATAGTATGCACAAACCCCCGTTGCAGAGCATCCATCACGGTGTCGCTCAACAGTTCCGCCGTGCCAAATATGCCATGAAGCGGAGATCGAAGCTCATGGCTCAGGCCCGCGAGCAAATTGGACTTGGCTTGCTCGGCAAACAGTGCACGGAGACGGTGTACCTCGGCGATGAGGCTGCAGCCAAAGGTGGTGCAGAAGGTCATTTCGTCGTCAAGAGTGAAGACTCGCTGGGGGGTTTTGGTCCATGCAAATGAGCCAGCAAGCCACCTGAATTTATGCGAATCCCAGACCGGCGAAAAGATAATACTCCGAGCACCAGGAGCTATGTTGAGCAGTGTCGCCGCATCCTGTCGGAGAACTGACTTGCGCGTCTTTTTGTACTTCCTGCGCGAGCTGAAGGCGTTGAATACAGAATCGCTGGTGTCGCCGGCGGAGATCGATCCATCCGCGTCAAAGTTGAAGATCCTGCCCCTTGGATAGCGGCGCAGGAGGCCAGCAAGGAAGGATTCCGACAATGCAATGTTCTTATCTCCCGTCGCCTCATCGTTGACACTCGAGGCGTCCGAGGTGGCAAATCCCAGAATTTTGCACGGATTTGCTGTTTCTTTGCCGCTGTCGTTGGCCACGGAGTCCAGAGTCTCAGCCGCTGTAGATCCTTTCGATGCTTTCGATTCCCCCTCACTGGAGGAACCTTCCAAACTACTTTCGTAATCAGAGTTGTTGCTCATTACAAATGCCGCTTGGCCACTAAAGCTGGCATCAAAAAAGATAGCTCCCTCGACCTCGAGACTTTCGCGGATTATGTTGGCCGCTCGCGAGAAGGTGTCTTCGATTCGGCCTATAGCGACCTCTTTATTCGTTGGGGCCCTGCTCCTGGTGTGCTTGCCAGCAGAACTGGAACTCGATCGATTATGCCCAACATGAACCCCCATCGGCGGCGTGGTCCCGGGGTCTGATCTCGGTAGGGAATTCGGTAGCTCTCGCGAATTGTTCGCCCTCAAGCCGGTCGAGGCACGGGGCCGGCCCAGACGCAAAGGTAGATCGCTAGTGAGAGTCTTTTGTGCTTTAACAGAGGCCAACTCCTCCGCATGCTGTTTACTCTGTTGGTGAGCGTTGACACGTCCTTCGACGCCCTCTTCTGACCCGATGCCCCCTTCATTGTCCTCGGTATCCACCCATGCGCTGCGCAAGCTGCCTTTCCCCTCTAGAAAGCTTCCCAGTCCGACAATCATGCGCTCACTCCGCCGATGTTGACTCTTCGACCGGTTTGTGACCAAATAATCCATGACCGTGGCCGCCATGTCGATCAGAAACTTCTGATGCTCCATGCCAAGGGACTGTCGAGGGTTATCGTCGAGGATCGTGTAAGCGCCAACCACAATTCCCTTGGGACTGACGATGGGGGCCGAGGCAAGGAAGCGCACATGGGGGTAGCTCGTGACATCGGGGTGGTTTCGATACAGCTCACTCTGCGTCAGGTCGGGGACGGTGAAGACTTGATGGGGGGTGGTAGAGGTGGATGCGGAAGTGCTGCTCGCGCTCGCAATCGCGGCGCTGAAACTGCGCTCGTAGGATATCGTACAAGCCCCCACCCAAAGCTCGTCCTGAACCTCGTGGTCGCTGTCATCCCGCAAGCTCAGCGTCCGTGTTGCTTCCGTCAAGATGTGTTCCTCGTAGCGACCAAAGAGGGAGATCAGGGATCGTTGCGCATTGAGTCGCAATGCGCCCAACTGCGCAAAGGCGGTCAGGGAGGAATCCGGCGACGAACGCGCCGTCTTCACCTCCGCGGAGGGAGTATCCGGATTATAATGTGGCAGAGATCGTGTCGACCGCGGCAGGTACCTGGGCAAAAATTCAATCAAAGACAAAAAAGATCAGCATTCGGAAGCCGTCGGGATGAAAGAGCCGAAGCTGTCTTACTTGTAGAACTCGCGTTCCCTGGTCGTGCCAAAACTGAACTGGCTCTCCTCCGCCTTCTGCAGCAACCCTGGACGCGCCATCATGCGGAAGACCCGACCATCGGAGTGTCTCAGTCTCACGGTGGTGTGCAGTTGGGAGGGAAAAAATAAGATGAAAAGGCCACGGAACAGGAACAACTCCACGATAAGAAAGATTATCTGGGTTAGTGGCGTTTGATTTTGTGAGAGCCAGATGGTGACGTAATCCGACTCTGCTCTCAGCCCGATTGTACGCCACCCCCATCGATATTTTAATGGAGTTATTGGACGTTGACATATGAATATCGAAATTCTTCGATTGTAAATGGTGCAGAAAAGCTATATATTCATGACGAGGCTTGTATCCTCACTTCATCCGCCGGTTAAAAAGGCGAAGTGGCAACTAGCCTCCGTAGACTTGCAGGCTCATCACTTGTACAGGAATAGGTATAAAATTGAATGAAAATTCTCATCCGGCTCCATGGAATAGAGTTAAGAACGAAAAGCTCTAAACTCATTCCATATTAAGACTGAAAATATGATATGATAAGAAACAAAGCTCTTCAAAAGAGAATAGAGTGGAGAGAGATTGCCAAGCTTCATGAGTGACTGGCTATGGCTGATACATATCCCAGAGTAATCCAAATAGCTATACGTGTAGTATATGAGATTAAGATCGTCTGTTCACGAATGCTTTGAATGAATGTATCTAGAAAAATTATAATCGATCCAGTAACCTTTTACAACGAGGAGAGTGCTTGTGTCGAAGCGCTCAATTCAACCGGATGCTGAACTGGAAGCCCTAAAGAGGTTGGGGAAAGCAGCAGCAACAACAACAACATCATCATCATCATCATCATCATTATCATCCAACGCGCCCACCGGGAAGGAGTCATGATCCAATCTGCCGACCAACGAGAATTGACCCTCATGGAAACGCTATGAGAGAGCGAATGAGGACTCATAGACACTAATTTCGCGCCCTCCCTCTACCCCAACAGCCATACAACCCCTTTCTGCCCCCGCGCAACCGCAAACCGTGCGGCCGTCCACATCTTATTCCCAGAGACCATGGCTCGATCCGCGCCCGCGTCCAGCAAGAGTCGCACAATATCGGCGTGACCGCCTGCCGCCGCTGCCGCCAGCGCCGTGTAGCCATTATACCGGGCCCCAGGGGCGTTGACGTCGGCCCCCGCTGCCAGGAGCCGACGGACTGTGGTGTAATGACCATTCAAGGCCGCACCCTGGAGGGCTGTAACGCCTTGATATCGGGAGGCGGGTGCATTAACCTCCGCGCCGGCATGCAGCAAGAACTCCACCATCTCATCAAACCCGCCCGCCGACGCGGCTTGCAACGCAGTTCGGCCCCGGTTGCTGGCGGGAGGCGCGTTGATGACTTCCGTGACGGGCTGCTGCTGCTGCTGTTGCTGCTGCTGATGGTATAACAACAGCCATTGTACAATCTCGAAATGGCCCTCTTCCGCTGCGGCCTGCAGGGCGGTGCGTCCATTGTATTTGTGCGGGGGACGAGTAATGTCCGCGCCGGCGGCGACGACCAGATGCCGGACGATGGGGAAGTGGCCGGCACCAGCGGCCAGGGCAAGCGCGGTGCGTCCGCCGTTGTTGCCCCCGGGTGCGTCCACTTGGGCTCCCGCGGCTAGAAGGGTCTCGACCACCTCGAGATGACCGTTGAGCGAAGCTGCCTGGAGTGCGGTGTGACCGTAGTAGCCTCGGGGAGGCTCGTTAGGGTTGCTGCCGGAGGGCTGATCCAGGAGAAGCTTCACATGGGGTAAATCGCTTTGCGCAGCGGCCAGCTGGAGAGGGGTCCAGATGCCTTCCTCGTCGTCTGATGCCTCTCTGTCATGCATTGAGCTGTGGGGTTAGCGAAGATTTATTTGTTTGTGGGTACGTCTGCGTGGACAGCATGTTGTGATCTATTTATTATTACTACGTAGTAGTGCTTACACCCCGGTTGTTTCCCCGCTCGAGCATCCCGCACCGAAATTGTTCGCCCCTCCCTTCAACGCCCAGAAAAGATCGGCATGGTCGCGGGCATTGGCATGAACGACGGATCCATTAGCGAGGACAATCTATGTATATACGATCAGTCCAGCGGACACTGGCAGCGGATTTAACCCCTCCCGTACCTCGAAATCAACAACGTTGTCGCAGGCTAGGCCATACAGGTCGGACAAATATGACAACCCACCTATAGGGGGATGTCCCGGGTCAGTTTCGACGACATCCTGATCTGCTGTAGGGGGAAGAGAAAACTCATACTGCCGAGAAGTAAGCCTCCTACGCCCACCTCGGGCACCCGCCCGCCCACCGCGGTACGATTGTAGACCTCCAGTCCTGCCTTGCCTTGCTGGTGTGTTGTTTGTGTGGAGGTGTCTTCACTAACCTTAACGTCCTCACTCCCACAGGTATTGTCACCACGGCCACGATCCAGACCTACCCGATGGGCCCGGTCTGGGGGGGCATCAAATGGTATTCCAGTGAGCAATTGCCCGCGGTGATAGAGGCGCTCTAATTCTAGAGATAGTAACTAGAATATATTAGAGATAATATATCTTAGTAAATTAGTAGCTAATAATATCTACTTTAGTATAACTATTAAGATCTATAAAGATTTTAAGACTATTTTAGATATAAATAAGAATATAAAAGTAATATATAATCTCTACTATAGATAAAAAAGTTATAATTATAGAGACTATTTTAACTTCTTATCTTTTCTCTCTAATTCTAAAGAAAATAAATAGACTTTAGTAGATTAAATCTTCTTATCTTTAGTAGAATAGTAATTTATAAGATAATAAGTACTTTTATATATAAAATAATATAATTAGTTACTATTCTTTTTAATAGGGTTTTTCTTATAATTCTAAGTATTATTTCTAGTTAATTTATTACTATAATCTTATAACTATTTCTATAACTTATAGCTACTAAATTAGTTATTATTTTATTTATACTTTTTTCTATTATTTTAGAGTTTATAATAATAAGTAGTAATAGCTACTATTCTATTCTATTCTCTAAATAGATTAGGAATATATTTCTAAATATAGTAATTTAATTCTAGAAGAAGTTTAGTAAAGTATAATAGAGTTCTTTCTCTTTTAATTTAATAGAGAAAATACTACTCTAAAGTATTAAAATAAATATAGAACTCTCTTAGATCCTAGTCTTATTACTAGTATATTTATTTAAGTTAAGTTATTATATTAGATAGAAGTATTATAATATTTTAGATTAAGATAAGAGTCTAGTTCTTAAATTAGAGTTATAATTTCTTAAAATATTATTTTTTTTATAAGATCTTATTAGTAATAAATCAGTACTATTTCTATCTATATACTAGATTTATATAACTAATAGTAGTAATAATCTTATATTTATCTAATAAATACTTCCTAGGGACTCTCTGAAATATATATTCTAAATTAATAATCTATTCTTAATATTTCTAAAGATTAAAATTTAATATAAAATAAGAGATATTAGTAAACTTAATTTCTTTCTTATTTTTATCTAATTTAGAAGAGAATAAGTAGTATTTTAATAAGATTTTACTAGAGAAATAGTTTTCTTAGAGATAAATTATTCTTTAGTATAGATTATTAGTCTATTCTAATTAATATATATTATTCTTAAGTTATTAAATTTCTTTAATAGTAGGGATTATATTTAATAATAATTCTATATTAATTTAGTTACTAACTATTTCTAGTTCTTTACTATTTTAGTATAATAGTATCTTTCTTAGATAGTTAAAAAAGAAGAATTAGAATATAATAAAATCTATTTATTAGAATAGAAGATCTATTAACTAGATAAGAAATTAACTACTAAATACTTATAGATTTATCTAGTAATAATAAAGATAGCTTATATCTATAAAATAGACTGATTCTTGAGAATCAGTAGCTTCCTGCAGAGGAATCAGCACCTTATAGATATCAGGAAGGTGTAGGTTCGCTATCAATGACCTCACAACTCCCATAACCACTGTAGTGCGTCATCCTGATGACCTTACTCCTGATAGTAGTTGTTCTATTACAATCTCGTCTGTAGTTTAGCTATTAGTATTTATTTCAATCCTCTAGGATAATGGTAGGTTGATTTCTTCAAATCATCCCTTAATAAGAACTCTGTCTTTAAAGATAATATATACAGGAAGGCTCTAACCCCTAGTATTAATATATTTAATGGTAGTGACCCATTCCCGCTGTCCTGGTTGAATAAGATGAGGCCTACCAGGTATATTAGATCTAGTAACCATCTTAGTAGTTACTATAAGGCCTATAGCAAAGCTAGTTTTATTAAAGTTATATATATTCTTAGTAGAGATACTATATTATATTTAAATTTTCTTTAGAAGATTAAATTACGACTTTATTAGCTTAGAATTCTTATAAAATACTTACTAATAGTTATATCTTCTTGCAAATCAACTTCTGATCTTATTATAGTATTTAATAAACTTTATAACCCAGTTCTTTCCTATAGCTTATTAGCTAGATATAGATTCTTCTCGAAGAAGGATATTAACTATTTCCTTTACCTAGCTTGATCTAGGGGCTGCTTTATAAGTATCCTAAGATATTATCTATTCAACTAAGGCCTTTTCCTGAGTCTTAGATAGCCGGTATCTAGCATTATAATATTCTGATCGAAATTAATAATCTGATAATTAATCTTAGAGTATTAAATAAGATATATTATAAACTTCTGCGGCACGGTAAATACTTGGAATTTTACTATTATTTAAAGCTCTTATTATAAGTTAAAGTCTTTCCTCTTGCTCTATTAAATTTTATGATAATTAACGCGCTTTTAGTGGTATAGTGGTTGTTTGAAGATTGATTATAATTATACGCGTCAAAACTCAATGAGGTGGGCGGAATGATTGGGGTGGGCGGACCGACCGGGAATTACGTTATCCCATGAGCGATCTGTCTTTTTAAGCAAGCCTCCACTTCTATACCGGCTCTTGCCCGCGAGTGACACCTCTCAACAGTCTTCCTGCGGTGCAGCTCACGCCTCAAGCCAGCAGATTACCCGATAGGAGCCTTTCCGAAAAGAAAGCCCTCAGACATTAGCAACCAAACAATCTATTCGAAGTAGGAGAGTACCATTTACATATAATAGTGACACTGCAGCAGAATCCATTCCATATAGATAGCGCTGGAAAGAGAAACAGTTGACAGCTCTTCTGCAAGCTCAGCTACTGTACTGAGCACAACGCATTTCAACCCGCCGAAAATTTCCATGGTCTGGTCTAGACCTCGTCGAATCGCTTAATGGGTTTCGACGTCCAACCCCAAATCCACCAAGAAAATAGGATAACTGTAATATAAACGTCAATTACAATACATGACGAGATCACACATCTCAAATTGCGTAATTTATGAGTCCCTGGGTTCTTGGCGCGTTTCCGGGTAACCCATGGGTACCCGAAACGAAAAAGCAATGACGAGGCCTAGCTATGGTCATCTTTGTGTCATTGATGGCTGTTCGCTCTCTTCCGCACAGTCGTTCAACCTGTGGCCAAAAGGGTTCAGAATTCTAACACCTTATCCAATCATTTAGAGAGCGACTTCGACCTCAAATTGCCAGCGTGGAGCATGAACTCGAATTTCGACATCGGATGCCTTCGCTTTGATTGCAACAACAGTCTCATGTGGTGTCAAGCCGACCAGGCGACCAACGTCACGATGTTTGACTGAGGAGCTCATATCGTCGATACGATATAGAGCGACAACCTGGCCTTCTTGAAGTCTTGTAGGATCATCCATTACAGTCACTGCCCTCTCGGCGAAATCAGATTCCAGTATCAAATTTGTCGCATCATGCCCTGTCAGTTGGGTTATTGCTGCTCCTTGCTTTTGCGATGCCGCGATCGCATGCCTGTATCTGTCAAGCCATCTCCAAGTGAATGGGTAGGCACTAGCTGAGATAAATTCATTTATCTGAGCTCCTGGGATGTTGATTATCCAATCAAAACAGAATGCAGCTATTGATTGATCAGTGAATATGGTCATCTGGAAATTATTTTGTGTTGGCTTTTATCTCACCATGTATATCGATCAGTCCGGGCTTCTCACTATCAAGCAACCACTGCCTTCCGTCTCCGAGAAGATTTTCAAGGACAGCAAAATGCTCCCTTATCTCCACCAAAGATTTGGTCAGGCCTTTCTCCAAAGCGTCGGGACTAAATTCCTTGCCCCAGAGCTCTTTTCTATCAGCGAGGAATATCGAGTCCGACAAAAATGGCAAGCTCTTCGGTAGCAAGTTCATAACCGAGTTCAGAAGGGATCCCTCTGCCCACTTTTCCACGAGCTTTTCGAGCGTTTTCCCTGATGGTTCCTTCGCGCCTAGTGGTTGCTGCGGGTACAATGCCTCCAGTTTCTCAAAGATAAGTGACGAGTCATAGTAAATGTCTTTGCCGATTGATATGAACGGAATGCGGCGATATTGGATATTAAGTAGTTGCAGGTCTGGCCGAGGCCAAGTCATGGGTTGGCAACATTCCGAATACTCAATCCCGCGAAGACTGAGATAACTAATCACCTTAGCTCCCCATGGAGAGCCAGGATAAGAGAACAGCACGATTCTGGGCATTTTGTTGCTTGTTTTTGCTGAAGAACCTACCCGTGGCTCAACGAGCTTAAATAGTGAGGTCCGTTGGTGCGGTGACTTGAGTGATTCATTTTCTCATAGCTCGGAAGCTCTTCTCCGGTAAGTTTTGCTGTATCAAATACCGGATGACGGACGAAGGCTCCAAGACCCGGGATGCGAGGCCCGATCTAATTTTACTCAAGGCCTGTTAGAGTATTCTCATTTTTAGGCTGCCAGGGCTAAGTGTTCCACATCGTTTGCAATGAACCAATTATATCAGCAGCCGAGAAAGCCATATAAGCAAGCCAGCCGGGCAACCCGCCAACATGCAGAAACCTTACTTTTGCCGGTGTTGAGCTTGGTATGTTATTAGGGTAATGGGGCATTCAGGGATCCGGTTCCTTCCCCTTCTTCCACATATTAGGGTAACTAGATAACGCAACCGACGATAGAACAAGCCACCTTATAATACTATTTCAAAGGCATGGTTTTGAGGTCAGTATTTCCCAAGGACTATATAAGTTCGGATACTATAATTTTCTTATCACTTGAATTTGTCAGAAACAAAAGATTTTATTGACATTTTTTCTTATGGGACCAAGGCCCTAGTATAAAGCTCAGCTTTAGACATTCGTCGCACGCTGCGTACTAAAACTAGCGCTAGGCTAGCACACACATAAAAGAATCTTGTACAAACAGGAGAAATAGCCCCCCAGCTATTTCTTCATGATCAAGGGCACGTTTTGATTAGCACAATCCAACCGTCCCGTAACATTTTTTTAATATTTTTCTGATGTTGATTTCCATAGATATTTTTGAATGAAATGATACAGTAAATACAAATATTGAATATTACCAGGTTTATCAAAAGGCTATAAACAATACCCAAAAGTTATAGAATATTTTTGAATTGCTATGAAACTTGTATACCAGAAATTAAGCCTCTATATGTGCTAGTTTCTTTTAGACATCGTGACTCAACAAAATTATCTTCTGTATGGCATTACATCATGGGCCGCGCGACCGAGTAGTTATTACGTAAAGCTAGCCTGAATGACTAATATATCACAGGACCATTTTCGGCACAAAGAAGGGGCGTAAAGCTGAGTCGAGTGCTTGTGCGGTCACAATTTAAGCTCATTAATATATGCGGCATCTCGGAGTATGATTTCTCAGAAGGATCAACAATACTAATAGGCTTGCTAAAGAAAAAAAAGAAACAATAGAGAGAATAATCATGTGCAAAATCTGACGTGACAGACCGGCGACCTGTTACCTCGCCCGGAAGCCCCGGCGAAATATTGCTGCAAACTATCATACGGAGCACTTCAGCAATCAGTCAACATAATAAAAACACTTCTACACTTGCATTAAAACCTACTTCCCCCAACACAAGCCAAATAGAATCAAGAGAATATCATTCGGGAAGCATTAGAATAGTAATAAGAAGTGGTCTCTGACGATATCTTTAAAGGTCGGTAGCAAATGCTTTCGTTCTTGGATCCTGTCTTTGCCAATGAAGCAACGCAACAGAGCCACCTTGAGAACCTATCAATCAACACATTAATTTCGTTCAAACGTACATTAATAATTGTAGTATGTATGCCCAAGTCCAGTTTAAAAAGCTATAGTATTGAGATCAAATACATATAATACCAGTTTCATTACACCTAGTTATAGTAATCTTACAAACCGGCTTAGTCCGGATGGAACGGCCAACAGCCAGACACCCGTTATTGTTTTATGCAGGAACATAAATGAATAACGACGTTTAGATGGGCAGATTATGAACATTTTCCAATTATAAAACCTACTAGACAAACAACAGAACTTTGGGAGAATTATCTTCAAACTCCTATATCACAACCAGATACTAAAGGATAAAGCCGCCCTTTTATTTCAAATCCCACTAATATGTCCACCCCCCGGGACCAGGAAATCCTTATCACTGGAGCTTCTGGCTTCGTCGCGACACATATTGTCAAATCCTTTCTTGAGCATGGCTACCGAGTTCGTGGCACAGTTCGATCTGAGCAGTCAGCAGCCAATGTGCGCGACATCTTCTCTCAATATTCTGATCGGTTGTCGTTCGCCATAGTTAAGGATATAGCGCAGCCTGGAGCCTTCGAAGAGGCAGTAAAGGGAATAGATGGGGTAGGTTATATACTAGTCTCTATAAAAACATTACAACTGATGAACCCTTGGTAGATCATTCATACCGCCTCGCCTTTTCAATTTGTGGTTGAGGACCAGGAAAAAGACCTCCTCCAGCCTGCAATTCGTGGGACGCTTGAAATTCTTCGAGCTGCGCAGGCGCGTTCACGCATCACTCGAGTTGTGATAACTTCGTCCTTTGCCGCTATGGCCAACCTGCATCAAGGACTATGGCCTGAGCACACATACACCGAGGCCGATTGGAATCCCGAAACGTACGAAAACGCTAGGGCAGCCGATGGTGTGAGCGCATATTGCGCTTCCAAAGCGTTCGCTGAGAAGGCTGCCTGGGATTTTATGGAAAAAGAGAAGCCACATTTCAGCTTAGCAACTATTTGTCCGCCTATGATCTACGGCCCAGTCGAGCAGTGTGTTCAAGATATGAGCAAATTGAACACCAGCGCTGCCGATATTTATCAGCTGATGAATGGTAGTATGACTGAAGTGCCTGTAATGGGATTTCCTGCTTGGGCCGATGTCCGCGATGTTGCCGATGCTCATCTTCGAGCGTTTCAGATCAATGAAGCTATGAATGAGCGGTTCTTTATCACGTCAGGTAATTACAACTACCAGCAAGTGTGCGAAATCCTGCGTGCAAATTTCCCTCAGATCAAGGATAAAGTTCCACATAGCCAGATCGGACAAATTCAACCAGCCGTTTACAAAGTTTCTAACCAGAAGGCTCAAGCAGTGCTTGGAATGCGATTCCGGTCATTGGAGAGCAGTATCAAGGATACCGCAGAAAGCTTACTTAAACTGGAAAAGAAGGTGGAGAAATGAGAACGCTATACGGTAGTGAAGGGACAACAGAGAGAAGTCTGAGAGATGCATAAGGTGGACATGTCGGTTTTGGACCTGATCCGACCTATCTACTTACAATTTTGGGTACTGATTTGTGCTTGAAAGAATTGTTGTTTGAAAATTTGATCCCAGTCTCATCTGCTCACACTTGCTGGCTGGCCAAGAAAATTCTCTAACAACCTTCTCGAGTTTGTGCTTTGAATATTTCTCCCAGCAGGTGCTGGGAGCAAAGACCGGATTCTGTTTAATATCAGTCACTTCCAGTCGGTTTTTCACGGCTATATTGCACTCCCTTATGTAATAAATACAACTAGAAATCTGTTAATTGTACATCTACCATTCGTCTGATTGTGGAAACATGAGCTTAGCTTGTCGTTGAGACCGTGTGGGCGTAGCGTGCCGAGCCCTATGCTTGAAGCTTATGTAGCTGAATATTGAAGGCAAAGCTGATATCTAACAGAAGCTGCCGGGGATAGGGTTATCACAACAGTAAAATGTATCATGTAGCAATGTTTCGTGAATAGTATAGAGACTGGTTATGGTGATTTCCGAAGATTAGGCATCGTTGTACTAGATAATCACAGTGGGCTTCTGCCATCGGTTCACTCGAACTCGACTTCCGCGGTTGTATGCCTTTTATGAGAGAGGCTCTGCAAGTGCCTATAATTAAAGAGTAGAACTTAGTCAGAACATTATAAAATTCCTGCAATTAGCGATCTAAGCCAATTACAGAATAGCTAATTCACTACTGATCATAGTATCATGGATGAGGTCAAGCGTTAATTGATTTAGATTACGGGCCATCGCCATGCTTGAACTGCAAGTTGTGAATCGTGACCGAGTGCTATTACCGTGTTGGTAGGACGTTGAAGCAAACTAAAGATACTTACAGCTTAGTTATTGATACAGAATCTGGTTAGGTATGGATAGTAATTTATTATACAGTGGCGGATTGAAGATCTTCCTTCCTAACATCCAAAAATAGTTTAGCACTGTTCCATGTCAGGATTGCTGAGACAATCAAAAAGAGTTAAGTAGTGACAGCGGTATCCGGAAACCCTGTACAGAAAGAGCATGGCGAATTTATGATGTCACCAAACTAAATCTAGCTCATTACGATATTTTCCTTTCTCACCAACCGCAAGTACAAGACCGCCGGGTAAGATCTTAGGAGACAATGCCTTCTAGTTGAGTAGGGTGGTTGTATAATAGGCATTGTAGCAGGTTTGTCTTACTCATAAAGTTTTTTTGTCCCATTGTTATTAAGAAGAATATTAGTGGTTTAGAAATAACTATAGAAGATATCACTAGTGCGCGGAACAGTGCATGGATTAGGTTTGAATTTGTGCATGAAACTAAATCTCAAATACTTCGGCTGAGTCTCACTGCCACGTGTAATTCTGTAATCTGAGCAAAATATAAGCGTCATAGATTTCCCAAGTTGCGATGAACATGACTGTTTAAATACTTCGGGTAAATACAACAGTTCTGTACAGAGATAAAGGATACGCGGTGTATGGTTATTCCGGCTCCGTGTCAGAATTGGCTTAGCGCAGTTTCAGGTTAGGGTTGCTGAAACAATCAAAGAGTGTAGGTGATGACACTGGTATCCGGAAGGACTGTACTGCCAAGGATCCGGAAGGTCTGTAACTTCAGGAGGATCGGTACTCTGAGAGGTAGCTTTCGACCAAAGTATCGCGGAGAACTGTGGTGTTGTGGCAGCTGTTATTGTGTGCCGAGCGGGAACTAATCCCGGCCCGATGGCGATCCCGCCCGCAGGGGTTACCGAACCCCGTCCCACAAACTCGCAGGGAACACCAAATATTTTCAGCCAATATGACTTTCATCCCAAGATCGGAGCAACAAGGAAACGCCGCAGATAAGGCGCTGATGCAGAGGAGAACGAGCCAATTACCAACCCCGAATTCGCAGTTTGCGGAGAACATAATGGACGAGTAACAAACCAGGACGTCCAGCAGTTCTTTACCAGCTTCAACGAGATACTTAAGCATCAAACAGAGATAATCGAATCAGCAAGAGCAGAAGTATAAGCCCTAAAAGCAGAACAACAGCTCCTCCGCATTCAAAATGAGGAGCTGCGAGAAGAAATTCAAACCCTCCGGGCTAGACTAGAGGCGCAACCGGCAAACACCCCCTTGAACAGATCATGGGCGGAAGTAGCTGCGGGCCACCCGCTGCCAGACCCTAAGAAGACAGTCCCGCGCCCCAGAAAGGAACCCAACTGTATCTGAATCAGCACCGCACCAACCCTAGACCAGGACGTCGATAATAACCGATTCTCGAGAGCCCTGCCAACAGAGGCAGCAAACACCCATATTTGTACTGCCCTCCTAAACGCAGAGACTACCAAAGAGGTCCAAGTTACTGGGGTCAGTACCACTAAAACCAGCTATATCATCCGATTCCGGGATGCGCAGTCCGCAGAGGCCGCTCAGAACAATACTAAGTAGCTAAAGAAACTAGAAAACAATACTAAAGTAGTCAAACCTCAGTTTGGGATCATAGTCCACCAGGTCCTAACTAAGGACTTCGACCTGGACACCAAAAAGAGACAAGAGATCAGAAAAATCACGACTGAGAACAACCTCAAGAACAAGAAGATCCAGATTAAGGACATTACATAGCTAAAAAAGAAAGACAGACCACTAGGTAAATCAGTATCTATAAGAATCTGGCTGGATACACCCGAGGCCGCCGAATAGATTATCAACAACAGACTACTAGTAGGACAGAGGTTTATTAGAAGTATAGAAGTCTACTAGATAGAAAAAAAGCAGTACCGCCGCTGCCAGCAATTCGGCCACCTGGCATAGTCATATAAGGAACAGATCAAATACAGGTACTGTACAGGCTAACACGATCAGCAATACTGCTTCCCCGGTATAAGACCACGATACTCAGATTACAATAGAGAACACCCAACAGACAACCAGATATACCAGGCATCCTCAACCCCTAGGCTTTCTTAATGACAGCAAACCTCCGTATCTTACAGCTGAACACAATAAAATCCAGGGCAGGAATAAAGGCCCTTATCAATGACCACACCACTCAAAATCTAGATATACTTCTAATCCAGAAACCACCAAAAACAGCATACAACACCCACATCAACCACAGTGCATGGAGACTCTATCAGCCCACATCTACTAGTAAACCAGACACCGAGGCAAAACAACTGCATAGCCTTATTTATATCAACCGAAGAATTTCTACATCCTCTTATTACCAGGTCCACTGCGACCACCAAGATGTAGTAGCTATTAAAATATAAACACCTGAACTATAGTACTTAGTATTTTCAATCTATATTCCACTGATCAAGATACACAAGGCCTTTAAAGCTAGCAGCGCCTCTCAAGTCCTAATAGATATCCAATAGACTATTCAACAAAATAGCAAATCAGGCGATCGCACTACTAAACTAATTCTAGCAGAAGACTTTAATCACTACCACCCAGCATAGAGCCACCGCGAAATATACTATTACTTTACAGCACACGCAGACAAACTAATTAACTTTTTCTACCACCTAGAATTACAGTAGTGCCTGGATCCAGGTGAAACAACATTTTAGTCCCTCAGTAAACCTAGCACAACTTCAGTACTGGACCTCACACTTACTAATAATATAATACAGCTGATTAAGTACTACTTGTACTATGAAAATTACAGATCAGACCACCAAGCAATATACTCGGAGTAGAGCCTTTACCTAGAGCAGACAAAGAAGCCTAAATCAAAACAAGCATACAACCGTGCAGACTGGTCTCGAGTAGAGCAAAATATACTAAGAAAGATAGACCAGTGCCCGAGAATCCAAACTAACAGAGACTTAGACTGTGCAGTAGAAAGACTAATCCAAACCATAACAGCGGCTCTAAATTAACATATACCAGCACAGGCACCGTGTCTATATTCAAAATACTAATTTACTCCTGAACTTAAGATACAGTAAGTAAAAGCTAACCAAGCCAGAAGAAAGTAATAAAGCAGATATACTATATTTAGAGCCGACCACCCAAACACAAAGTCCATATTCAAGATAATGCGGGCGAAAAAAAGGCAGTGGATACGAGCTGTGAAAAAAGCAAAGACAAGCCATTAGAAAGAGTTCCTTGACAAAGCAGAGAAAGACCAGCTGTGGAAGACAACCATCTATATACACCCGCGGGATGCCTACATAAGCATACCAGCCATCCAAGCAGAAGTCAAAGAAATAACAGACAACTAATATAAGGCGGAGATATTTCTCAAAACCTTCTTTCCAAGAACAGCTAAACCGGAAATCAAAGAGATTAACCCGGCCGAAGAACTACTATGGGAGGTAATTACTAAGAAAGAGGTCTTCCGGTCTCTCCAGGCAGTAAAGGGGACTACAGCCCCAGGCCGAGACAGAATCCCTATACTGGTCTAGAAGAGTCTATAGACATTCCTAAAGGGCATAATCACTACCATCTTCATAAGATTAGTGGACCTGGGATACTACCCAAAAGAATAGAAATAGACGTGGATTATTGTCCTCCGTAAGCCCGGTAAGCTGGATTACTCTATGCTGGGAGCATACCGCCCGATCTCCCTGCTCAACACACTGGGAAAGCTGCTAGAAGCCGTCATGGCCCGAAGACTCTCATACTGGGCAGAGAAATACAAGCTGCTCCCGGATACTTAATTTAGAGGCAGGCCGGGACGCAACACCAAGCAGGCCCTGCTGGTGCTGGCTAACGCAGTCGACCGAGCATAGGTGCAATCTAGAGTAGTAATACTGATTATATTTAATCTAAAAGGCGTCTTTAACAGGGTCAGTAAGACCACCCTCAACGCGCGTCTACGGGCGAAAGAAATACCATCGAAGGCTCAATAGTAGATCTCCAGCTTTATAGCGAGCCAAACAGCCAGTATAACACTCGATAATTTTGAATCAGACAATACTCCTCTGGAAAATACAGGGCTAGCTCAGGGTTCCCCACTCTCACCTATCCTGTTTAGATTCTATAATTCAGACCTGGTCGATCAGCCGGTCAACAGCAATAGCGGGGCATCAGCATTTATCAATAATTATTTCTACTAGCGGACTAGTACCTTAGTGGAGGATAATATCAAGAGGATTCAGAAAGAAGATATTCCCCAGATCAAACAGTAGACGCGGAGAACAGGCGCGTTATTCACAGTAGAGAAAACCAAGCTGATCCACCTCATACGGCGCAAATCAGCCCGTGGCAAGGGCGAGATTACTATAAATAGGAAAGTAATTAAACCAGCAGACAC